GGCGGGGCCCTGCCACGGGCGCCTGTGTTCCCTTTTCAGGCGTGTTTCTGTGATCCCTTTTCAGACGCTTTTCTGTGTTTGAGGACTCTGTTCTAGCCTCTGAGCAATATAGTGTCCTGCCTCAGCCAAATGATCGGCATCCATTGTGGTTGGAAGCCAAGTTAGACAGACTTGTCTCCGAGACAAGTATTATAACAGAGAACACGTTATTAGCTGCGATCAGTGTGTGTAATATCGGTGAGGGCGTTTTTAAGGGTTTCTGTTTCTCTGAAAAGGCTAAGTAATTTAGCAGATACTCTAGAAGCAACTAGTTAAGAAAGTCATACTGACTGAAATCATCTATGTATGTTAGCACTGCCCCAAAGCTGTCTTACAATACTTGTTTCCTCAAAAAGCTTATCAATGGAACAAAATATTTTCAGTAAAGGTTTTTTACTATCTTACTGCATCTAAATCATTAATTTCCTGCAAACTCAATTTAATAGGGAAATACTGAAAGCAACTTTCTTAATAGAAAGTCTGAGGCCCTGCTTTGCTCCCAGTGAAGCTAGTGGGAAAACACCCAATGGGAATAGGATTAGGCCCCTCATCTCTAAAGAGTCAAAGTCTAATTGCTGTCATGAAATGACAGAAAGTACCTGTCGGTGATACATAAAAAGCTCACACAAACGAAACCCCCTCTATTCCAAACATAGGAGCAATCGCTAAAGTGATAGGAAGCAGAAAACAACTGATTGCGTTTAATGACTGACCACGGCAGCACATTTACAGTAACACAGAACGCAGCCCTTGTTCTAGAAAGAGCGTATGTTGGTACTACAGCAAACGCCTTCACTGCGGCGCTGCACAGCTGCAGTCACATTACTAGCTCGGGTGTAAGTTACAGTCTGACGAGGGCAGCGCACAGCCCCCTGCATTCGGCAAAATCTGCTCACGAGAAAGGGATGAGATGACAGCTCACTCATGAGATACGCTGGACTGACACTCAAGCTAGACATTTGGAAGGTCTGTCAGCAATACGCAAAACTAGCAGCTGGTGGCATATCTTGCAGGTCTGTCCATACAGACATGTGGACAGAACTACGCTGCAAAGGTCCTGGTAGAAGCTAACGCTCTGCACACGCCCATCTTGAAGTATTAAACGGCAGCTGGCCAAGTTTTGGTGTACATACATCCAAAAATCCAAAGTGGAAGGTGGTTGAGATGTGTGTCAAGGAAAAAAGTACACCATTTCAGTTTTACGCTATTGTGTTAATTATGCGATTATATTTGTGTCGTGTCAATAACCTTGCAAAGAGGTACTTCGTAATACATGATGCTTTTTCTCTAAGCATTGGGAGGATAAAGGGATAAAAATAAATTATAAAACAAATATCCTATGTTCATATTGTTGAGGTTAATATATGCAGTGAGGTCAAATGATCTGACAGCCAAACAACACAACACACAGCATACAAGATCCTGACTTCCCTTCTCATTTCCTAAATACTGCACTAGCAAAGCTTTACCATACCTTACAGTATGGTAGTTTAAAAATTAATCAGAGACATTTTTCTTACACTTGCAATTCATGCATGAAAAAAAATCCCGTCTACCTGTTAAAGAGAACAGGAAAAATCAGAGTATTTCCTCTCGTAAGAGTCAACAACCTGCTGTGTCCTACTCAGCCTGAAATTTGCTGATGGAGATTTCAGTGAGCTTTGCTTTGCTAGAACAAATACTAACAGAGACAAGTATTTTGGAGGAGTTTTTTTGTGCATGTGTTAGAATGTATGCATATGGTAAATGAGCTATGAATTGAGTGAGAGAATTTTGACCTTGTAACTGCTTCTTTTTTGGGACAGACAGAGAGATGCATACAGAAAGCAGACTATTTTGAAAGCACACAAAAAAAACATCCACTATAATTGTTTTTTTAAATTTCAGAGGATTTTAAGATACTAAATTAAAAATGCAGTGTAAGAGATTCATTGTTACACTAGTTTCAGGTGTCTGTCTGTAAATGAAAGGCTGTTAGTGCAGCAAGCTGGGCTCAAGACAGTTTTAAATTCAAGATGTTTTTTTTAGCTCAAGGCAGTTTTAACCGTCTTGAAGGAGTCATTACACACAAAACAAACATGCTCACTGGCATGCTTACCTGAACACATCTACATATAATGGAAACAAAGGAATTCATTTTGGTTGCTTCTGGAATTGCTGACCAAAACAACAAAGCAAGAATGGCCATAGCTTATGAAACAGTTAACGAGGACAACACAAAATATTTGTTAATCACAACAGACCCATTCTGAAAGAGGTATTACAATTACTGCATTAATGTGTATGTCAGGCTCTAACTGTCGGCGAACGGGATAAAGGCCACATCATCCTGCATCTGTGTCCTGCAGGAATGTTGCTGCTTGAGTAAGCATCACCTCAGGTGCCGCCTGACACAGAACTTTTGCTAAAAAAATGCCTAGCTTCATACAGCAATCGTTACTTCGGTATTAGCAAGGGATATACTGTTTTCATTTAGCCCAGCATAGTCTGCTAATGACTAGGTCGTCACTGTCCAAAGACCAGCAAGTATTCTACAGAAATTAAGCTTATTTTACTTTTGGATAGGAAGGCTTTTAAATCAAATCTATCCAGCTGATACCTTGCTAGCTATCCAACAAGAAGGGAAAACAAAGAGCAGATAAAATGCTGCAGAAATGATAAATACATTGTTATACTAACAGTAATCTTTCATGAAAGGAAGAACACTTGCTTAGAAAAGCATTATTTCTGCTTATTCTGAATAAGGAAAGGGCTTTGAAAAAATAAGAATCACTGTACCTCAGATTTTCAGAAATTGTTTTTTGAAAGACAGTCTTCTGCTAAAGAAGCAATAGTAATTACTGACTTCTTGTTGGGCTATTGTGATGTGGTGATTATGTGACTCCAGACAGTAAGAAATTATTCAAGTTTCATATTAGTTGCACTTACAACTATGCAGAGAATTTGGTATTAAGCTTAAAAGCATTCTCTTCAAAACCGGTCTTAAGAATTATTAAGAACACCTAGAGAAAAGTTTATTTTGAAATTAGAGTGTCAATTCATCTCAGTAACAGGAATAAAAAACCTAAAAATTTCTTTATATTTTATGTGACGTGTTTTCCAAGATATTAGGAACATTACATTAAATAAATATACAAGTTATATCGTATTGTCCTCTTACCACGTCATCTTTGAGGCACATTTCATGTGTTACCATGAGCCACGTGCAGTTTTTCTTCTGGATCTCACAGCTGTTTATATCCTAGTAATGAAGAGAAATGATTTAAACTAGCACTACAGGTAGGCGATGTCTGATCTTGTGCTTGTACGAAAAAATGGTCCTTCAGAATAAATAATGTCGCTTTTAAAAAAGCAGGTTTTCTTAACGTACGAAAATACATTTACATGAAAGTAGTTTAAAGCTGCCTTATCTATGCTTACGCGTGTTCTCAGTCAGACAAAGCTGTACGACTGAGCTCCAGCGTTAGAAAGATTTACGTCCCAGCAACCGACGTGCCGAGAGCGGACCTGCGGGCGCTGCCTCCCGCGCCTTCCA